TTTTAGAAAAAAAAAAAAATAAAAAATAAAAATTTACTCGCTAAAATAAAACTGTTTATTTTGTTTTATGATTTTTAAGGCATTATTATGGAAGTTATAATAAAAGTAAAGCGTGTGGGGAATATTTTCTTCTTCATGAAGGTTTTTTTCATTCACATTGGTTTTGTAAGGAAAATTCTGAAGTTTTTGTTTTACGCGGCCAAGCGGTCACACGGACTTATCATCGACTAACCATTTTAAATAATAATAATAATAAAATCAAGAACGTTTTTTTCCTTTTAAATTATTATAGAAAATTCAGTTAAGAGATAGGCTACTAATCTGTGAAGATTTGAGATGTAAACGAGTCGAACCGAAAATTTTAATTATATGTTCGAACAAATACATCACCAATAAGTGAATGTCACATAAACGTTGGGCAGGGGAGGAGCTTTATTAGGACCCGTGTGGGCCTAGGCCCACACTGAAAAAAAAACGTAGTATTCCTATCAACCCATGTTATTTAATCTAAAAAAATATTAATTATGCCCTATAACCTAATAAAAATTGCCCAACTCACAAAGACTAAACTCTTTGTATTACTGTTAGCCATATGAGACCAATAAATAAGCTTAATATAATAAATTGATAAAACATTTAGCACAATAATTAAACAAGAGAAAAGAGTGCAGAGATCACGCAGACAAATACAAAGGGAAACAAAAAGAGGGGAAAATAAGGAGGAAAGGAAAAAGGCAAGGAGTTCGTCAATTTTTGGTCTACCTATACAGAAAGGTTACTTACAAGATAACAAAATTCATTTTGTTTATTTTAGTAAAGATAAAAATTACTCTTCTTTATTTTTTAGATAGTGGTAAATATATTTTTTTATACAAAAATTGCACGTTCAAGTCCTTTTTAGGTTTACAACTATTTAAAGTGTAATATGTCAAAATAGAGAATTTCATTTACTGTAAATTTATAATATTATTTTTGCATATCAGACATTAAGAGATATTTTCAAAAATCTCATGTCAACAAAATCTTGTGAAAATATTTCAAAAGAAGATACATTGAACCCAATTAGATTGAGGAAAATTCTAGTATCTTTGGGCAGAAAGAATGTAATACGAGAAATTTGGTATCAATGCGAAAATTAGATTTGATGATCAGGTTTTATCCTCAAGACTTTTCTATATTCGATGTTCTCATTCTTGAGGATCAGTTGCTGAACTATATTGTTGATAAGAGCTCTGACCGTTTTTGCCTTTGCCCTTTTCATTAAGTTTGTTATATTTTTAATTATATAGTTAGGCCCCCGCTCACTATATTTGCTAGATTCGCCCCTGGCGTTGGGCATATTAACATGTGCTTACCGTGCGTAGGTGAGCATTATTGATGATGTCAGATTAGCTTTGATAACAATTTATTGAATTATTCATACAAACAGGGATGAAAGCTTCTATGTGAGACGGTCAAAGTTAAAGAGGGCTTAAACAGGGATGCAACTTGCATGGGATAAAGGGTTTCGTCAAGTGGTTGTGGAAATCGATAGCCAGTGTGTGCTCCAAATGGTTCTTGGCTCGGGCAGGGACTTTGGGGTGAACGGTGCATTAGTCACGGTCGTTCGTCAAATGTTCCAACGGGACTGGACTATTAGTCTTCGACATGTGCATCGCGAGGCGAATTTTGCGGCTGACCACCTAACGGGCCTAGCATCCTCATATCCGATTGGACTCCATGTGTTTTCGTCGCCGCCTACTAGTGTAGGGGAATGGCATCAGCATGATATTATAGGGGTGTCGTATCCCCGACGCATCCTTGTGTAATTTTGAGCCTCTGGCCTCCTTCTTTGTACCAAAAAAAAAAGTTAAAGAACTGTCAAAAAGGACGTAAATTTTTTTTGGGTTATTAAGGTAGTATTATAGTTTTTTTAAAAAAATATTAATAGCCTTAAACGCTTCTAAACGTTGATTACAAAGTTGTATGTATGCATAAATATTAAAATTATAGGTTAAATAATCGTATCACATTTTAAAATTTTAATTTTTAATAGAACTAAACATTATAAACAATTTAACCGCATATGAATCACTATATATATTAATTGATTGCATAAAATTGTACAGACCAATGTATTTTTTTTTTCAATTATTTTGAGAAACGATGACCAATTAATAAAAAAATATTAAATTTTTTGTCTAAAATCCATAAATTTGGATCTCATGTCACAAGATTGATAGCACAATTTTTTTTGTATGGAGTGGCCTAATATTTTTTTTTTATTTGTAATGCTTTTATTTTAAATCATTTATTAAAATATGATATTTTAATTAAAATATACATATTTATTTAAAAAAATACTATTACCTAGATAATAGTACTGGTTAACATCACCTTTACTAATAAAATAATAATCATTGTCCGAGTCTTTTTTTTTTTCGAAACGATAGAACTAATATATAACTAGCACAAATGTGCAAAAGTCAATGGCTAAATACAGAGCAGCTAACAGCTGAATAGACACAACCAAAAAGGAAGGACAGGTCCAAGGACCGCCTAGTGCCGACCCCAACAGGGTAATAAACTAAAAACACAGACAACACACAAAACCCCAACAGGGTAATACAACACATAACGGCCCCAACAGAGTAATGCCCGAGTATAAATCCCAACAGGATAATAAAGGCACACTCGGGCTCACTGAGGCCAACGGCCCAGAGTCATATTATAGAGACCGAGTCTAATTAATCATCATGTATACTTGAGTTCGCAATCAGGCTTGGAGAAAATTTAACTCTATTTGTGCCAAATTGTCTATTTTTTTCGTTGCCGTATTAGCAAGAAAAAAGGCACACATTAATAGTTTGGTGACCAGATTACATCAAACTTCAATTAGAAAATTACGTAAACAAATTGAATAACAATTTATTTTTTATACAATTATTTGAACTAGTAACACCAATTTTGGGTCGACTTGGTTTATGGTGGCTTTTTTTTGGTGTACTGGCTTGGGAAGGGCTTGTTTTGTTTCGTGTAGGATTTTGTTATGTTTTGTTTTATGTTGGCTAGTTTTGTAGGTCGTGTGTTTTTCGTTTGGACTTTAAGCCTCTGTTTTTACTCGCGTGAAAGCGGGTATTATCATTTTGGGATCGATTTTCACCCGGGCATTATCTTTTTGGGATCGATTAGTCTCATGTTTGGGAATTAGTAGTAGTTTTTTTGGTAGTATTGTGTTTGTGTTTTTAGCGTTG